TGTCAGTGTGGATTTAGAAGGTTGCCCACCCTCAACCCTTCACACACCCCAGACATTTGCTCTGGCTGCAGCATTCAAGTGCCTTTAAGCCGGAGCATTTCTTGAGATTTGTCAGAAGTCTGTACTTTCACTTCCCTTCTCACTGCTGGAAAAACCCTTGTTGGTACTGTTCAGCCTCAATACAGCACACTTTCCAGGTGGAGGGGTGGAAGGGAGCAGGAGGGAACTTGGATGCTGGATTGAAAATTCTATTAATAATAGTTACCATTGTCTGGACCTTCCCCTGTGCCAGGCACTGAGTGTTATCTCATTTAATTATCACAATCATACCAGCAAGGAGAGACTGCTATCCTTATTTTACACATGGGTAAACACAGAGGCTCAGAGAGGTTATAAACTTGTGCAGGGTCCCACAGCACGTACCTAGCAGAATTGAGGTTAGCACCTTTACTAGGTGTGAGGCAAAGGTTTTACATGCTTCGAACATGTGTGAAGTAAGTGGGCACCGGCCCGATTCCCACATCACAGATGAGTCACTGTGTGCAGGAGCTCCACCGTACCTGCTTCCCATCCTTCCAGCCTAGCCAGAGGTGGAAACAAAGAACCCGGACACCTGCTGCTCAACCCACTGCAGAAGGGAAGATGACTCTCACAAGCTTAAGGACGTGAAAGAGGATGACTGTAAGAAAGACTCCATCTTGATGATGTTCCAAACTAGTCCAGCAAATTTTTGCTTGCACAAGTGGTTACCCATGGGTGTGCATGCTGATTGCAAGGCATCACTGGAGGACCTCAGGAGGTACAGCTGATGTAATGTCTCATGGTTACACAGACGTGTTTGTGCTGTCCAAATGCATCCAGCTGTTTGCTATGGTTTGTGCATTTCCCCGTATATGTTATATCTCAACACATCAGAATGATAACAGTGATGATGATATTAAAATGATGGGTTCAAACCTCAGCCAGAAGCACTTCAGAGAGCCATCTAGATGATGGGACTGACTAGATTATGAACTGAGGTCATATAGTAGAAATAAAGTGGCTGCTCTGATTCCACACAACTCTAGCTTTGAACTCCAGCTTAGGAACGGTGTCACCTTTGATCATACTGCTTCATCTCTCAGAGGGTTGAGTTTCCCATCTGAAAAATGGACCCATGGGACTCTGCAGGCTTGTGGTCATGATTACAGGTAGAATGGTTGGTACGTAGTAGGTGGTCAGTGAATGCATGACACCTGGTGACTCCTCCTTGCAGACAGAAAGCCTAGGGTGCTGACTGGTAGAAGGAGCTGGGCAAGCTGACCTCTCTCTGCAGCCCAAGCCCAGAGATTCTTATTTTTAAGCCAGTTGGCCACTGGCTTGGGGAATTTCCACTACGGCCTCTCAGTTCATTCAGGGTGATCCAAGAATGGTCTTGAACTCCCCATGACCAGGACCTTCCAGGTATGATTGTTGCTAGACAGTTCTTGCTTGTTTTCAGGCCTGGCCCAGTCCCCTGTTGCCTTTCCAAGGCTGTATCTAAGGCTTGAGAGGCAGCCAAGCCTGGCAGAAGCAGGAGATCCAGGGGCAGACTGACCTCCAATCTATCTTGATTCCCCTCTGTGAAATGGGGTAGAGGAAAATGATTAATATACAGCTAGTGGGATTGTTATAAGAATTCCAAGTCACGGGGAATGCACAGTGCTGGGCAATGTGCCTTGTGCAGAGTAAGCTCCTGGGGATGATGGCTGGTGGTATTACTACTGTCAGTTTATGGGACCCAGCACACTTCCAGGAAATCCCATGGAAGGATTACAAAGTCTATGCCATTCTATAGAAGGGAATTGAGCATCCCCAGATTTTTAGTATCCAAG